TATACATTTTAAATAAGCCTCAGATATATAACTCCACAAGTACACAAAGATAAACACAAGTGTGTTTGCTGCAGTGGAATGGCAAAAGAATTAAAAACAACACAATATCCCTCTACAGGGGACAGATTAGTTATGGTATTTATATGAGGAAAAGCTTATGGCTATTAAAAAATAATAAAAATTTATATCTGAACAAAAGAAATGATCTCCCAATATATATCCTAACATGCAAAAAGTGTGTTACATGTTCCTGTAAATGTGTGTATGTGTAGGGGAAAGGAAGGGAGATTCACATAGACACAGAAAACTTCCAGAAACATAGAGAAAAAACTGTCATCTGGTATTACCTCTGGGGAAGGGGCCAAGGGACTGGTGTAAAAGGAAAACATTTCATTAAATTTTATACTACATGTATGTTTCAACTAAACACAAAAGAAAAACACCAGCTTCTTAGTGCTAGGAAAGAAATTACAACATGCATAAACATTAACTGAATGCTAAAGGCAAAATACATGATAAATGGTTGGTTCACTTTTCTATTCTTTTTAAATAGACATTAGGAAAGACAAGTGAATATACAAGTACCTGTCATTAGTAAATTATAAGCTTCTTGTTTGGAAATCTTCCCATGGAACCATCTTAAAAAGAGAACCAATTAGATACATAAATCAAAAGTACTTTTTGCTGTTATCATATGATCAAAACTAAACAACCAAAACAGTAAGTTTAATTCAAACTGACATAATGAAATAAATACAATGCAATTGATCAAATTATCTCATTTTTATCACATTCGTTACATTTTGTAGACATATCATGTTTAATTTCAACAAAATAGAAAAAAAACTAGAAACTACCAAATGTAAACTACAATTTCCACATTAATTACAATACAAAAACAGCAAACATTTTAATCCTGATAACTGCAAACTGTTACACGCTTACTTCATAGTTAGCGCTTTTATTCTTTTTGGGGGATGAAGGGGAGGAGTAGTAGTACAGGTAGAGCTCACTCTAGAATTGCTCAGAAAAAAAAATTAATGATTCAATTTTTCTCGTATTTCTCTCAAAGTAAATTTTCCTATAATGTGATAAATTCTCTCTTCAAATAAAATCAAAATGTTGATGTATACTTTACTGAAAGCCAGAAAGTAAGATGGAGTGATGAGAACAAGTGGATACTAACATCGAGAACTGAACAAAAGGGACAGTGTTCCTAATTCTACTTGAGGTACCTATCAAATTTGGTTGCTAAAGTATTTTATATTGTGT